AGGGCAGCGGGGAGCAGGAGGAGGAGGGGAAGGAGGCTGATGAGGAAAAAAGGAGAAGAGGCCATCAGGAGCCAGAGGAGCAGGAAAAGGAGGAGGAGGCAGGGGAGCAGGAGAGGAGGAGGAGGAGGAGGAGGAGGAGGAGGAGGAGGAGAAGCATCAGCAGGAGATGCTGATGATGGTGCCGACGACGATGATTGTGATTATGATGATGATGATGCTGATGATGATGATGCTGCTGCTGCTGATGATGATGATGATGATGATGACGATCATCATCATCATGATCATGCTCAGGTTCATGATCATGAGCATGCTCATGATGACAGTGATGATGGTGATCGTGACGGTGATGGTGATGGCGATTGTGATGGTGGTGATAGTAATGGTGATGGTGGTGGTGATGATGGTGACGGCGATTGCAATGGCGATGGTGATGATGACTATAGTGATGATGATTGTGACGGTGGTGTTTATAATGATCTCGTTGATGTTGAGTATGATCATGTTTCAGATGACGATGATGGCGATGTTGCAGAGGATCATGTTTCTGGTAGTGATGATGCTGATGCAGATGATGATGATGATGATGATGATGATGATGAGTATGATGATGATGATGATGATGATGATGATGATGATGATGATGATGATGATGATGATGATGCTGATGCGCATGCTGATGGTGATGATGATGATGTTGGTGAGGGTAATGGTGAAGATGATCGTAATGATGCTGATGACGATGGGGTTGGCGATGCAGTTGCCGGTGACGAAACTGATGACACTGATGACAATGATGATGTTGCGGCGGATGATGCTGACGATGTCGATGATGACGATGATGATGATGATGATGGTGGTGGTGGTGATGGTGATGATTGTGAAGATGATGGTGATGCTGTCGGCGATAGCGATGCTGATATGCTCGTGATCATGATAGGGGTGATGTTGGTGATGTAGAGGCTGATGGTGGTGATGATTATGATGGCCATGATACTGATAGTATTTCTGATTTTACAGGGTATGATTGTGACAATGGTGAGGGTAATGGTGATGCTGATGATGCTGATGATGGTGGTGGTGGCAAGTGTGATGATGACGATGATGCTGATCATGCTGATGATGACGATGATGGTGGTGGCAATGGTGATGATGATGACGATGATGCTGATCATGATGATGATGATGACGACGATGATGGTGGTCATGATGATGCTGTTGATGACGATGCGACTACTGTTGGTGATGATGCGGCAGACGATGCCCATCAGGAGGATGGCACGAGGATGTCATGATGAGGATGATGACGATGATTGTGATGGTGGTGATGATGGCGAAAAAGCCGCCGCTGCCGCTGATGTTGATGATGAACATGGTGTTGATGATGCAGCTACTGATGATGCAGCTACTGATGATGATGAGGAGGAGGAGGAGGACGACGACAACGAACAGGCTAATCTTGAACAGAGTTTGCAGGAACTGGAGGATAGAAGGAGGCCGCCGGCCGCATCTGCCGGTCAGGCCCCAGGGCCAGAAGCAGCAGGAGGAGATGGAGCAGAGGAGGAGAAGGAGGAGGAGGAGGAGGAGGAGGAACTTCGAGGTCCGATGAATGAGTTTGGGGCAGTGTCTTTTCAGGAGGAGGTGGATGATGAGGAAAAGGTAGACGTTCGAGGCTCGATACAAAGGAGTTTTGTATGCTTCGGTCTCGTATCGGGCCTTCGGGGGGCCTCCTTGTGGCCCCCTGTCACCTTGGTGGACTGATCGCAGTCCGCTGGATAACTCTGGGACGATGAATATGGTACCCATGAGGAGGAGGAGGAGGAGGAGGAGGAGGAGGAGGAGGAGGAGGAGGAGGAGGAGGAGGAGAATCAAGTGGAGAGAGCAGAGAGGTACCGTAGGGCATGAGTAGCTGTAGGAGGAGGCGGGGTGAGGAAACGGAGGAATCGGAGGCAGAACTGAGCGGAGGTGGAGGCGAGAACAGAGCATAGAGTACCTGACGATGAGAAGAGGATTCTCAATAGACTTCTCGATGCACAAGAGCAGAGCACATTGCATGTATACGACAGTACACAGCGGACAGGAAGACAGAGAGCGGTGATGCTTGAGCAGGCGCGGCCCCAGAGTTCCCGACCCCCTCCCGGGGGACAGTCGTTCTTCCCGGACCCGTGTTCTGATGGCCCCCAAACCCGAAAGGTGCCCCGATCGAGAGACAGAAGCGCCGTGCACGTCGGAGGTGCGTTGGCAAACAAGTGAAACCGCAAGTTCCGCTACCGGAGGCGCGGCTGCGAAACAAGAATACGCCGTGCAAAAACCGATTGCGACGACAGCGGCGGCGACGGCGGCGGCGGCGGAGCTGAAAGGGGCCCCGAGAGGCCAAAATCTATGAAGCACGGCAAACTGTCCTGCGGAATTCTGGATGGGGGGAAGAGTCGAGGGCAGGACAACAACATCATCGACAAGATCGCCAATCTCAGCCACCTCAGGACCGCGCCCGCGCGCCCGCGCTCCTCGTCACCCCTTTGGAGGCCCCACGCGCCTCCGGCGTGGCGTGGTGTGGCCCCTTCGGCCAGGCGGCGCCACTGCACGCTTTTTGACCGGGCTCGCCCGACCCAGGAGCACCAGAGCTGGCCGTGCATGGGCGGGCGGGGAGGAGGAGGAGGAGGAGGAAGAGGAGGAGGAGGAGGAGGAGGAGGAGGAGGAGGAGGAGCAGGAGGAGGAGGAGGCGGAGGAGGACATGGGGCGGGGGGAGGGGAGGAGAGGACGAGGAGAGGCGGGTTGGGGAAGGGGGACAAGAGGGAGGAGAGATGGGTCGGGGCAGCCCGAGGAGGGAGAGGGAGGCGGAGAGGAGGAGCCTCTGCTCCAGCGCGATCCGCGCACCTGCTTCCGAGTGACCCGTGCCGCGGCGCGTCCAGCCTTCCAGGGCCGCGGCCACCTCGTCCCCGCTCGGCACCCTGCCAGCATGAAACATATCCCGACTCCTATCTATTTGGCATCCTCTCGCCTCGGTGCCGATCGCAAGGCTTCCCTCCGCTCCTGAGCGCACATGCCCTGGCCATCGACTCGTCGCCCTGGGCCTGCCGATCCCGGGCCCGGGCACAGGAGTCCGAGGCCGCTTGCAGCACCCCCGCCGCGAGGGCCGCAGCAGAACGCAGGCGCGCACTCGTCGGGCGCCCCTTGGGCGGCAGCTCCTCCGCCGTCGCCGGGCCGACTCCCCGTACCCCCTGGGGCGGGGGGGGGGGGCGGCCGCGGCCGACTCGGCGCTACCCACCCAGGCGGCGCGAGGGGAGCGGCTTGAGCGGGCAGCGGGAGGCCGATGCGGCCAGGGACGTTGGTTCGATGGGCTGGTTTGCCACCACCGCCACCAGAAGCTGGAGGGGGAGGGGGTCCTCCTCCTCCTCCTCCTCCTCCTCCTCCTCCTCCTCCTCCTCCTCCTCCTCCTCCTCCTCCTCCTCCTCCTCCTCCTCCCCCCCCTCCAACTTATGGTGGTGGTGGTGGTGGTGGAAAACAGGCCCATCATTGGCTCGGCATGTCGCTCCGAGGATCGGTCCCGTCGTGTGCCTCGGCGGCCTTTGAGCGCGATGTGGATCCTGGCCGTTTCGACGATCAGGCACGCGCAGAAGGGGGGGGGACGGGGGAGAGGGAGAGGCTTCTCAGAAGTCGCCGGTCTTGTCTCTCTAGATGTGAGGCCAGCGCCCGCCAAGGAGCAGCCTGCTACCAAGAGGCCATCCCCCCTCCCCCTGTACCCTTCTGCGCTCCGACAGTTCGAATGCGGTGTGGATCCTCGCCGCTGCGACTGAAAGAGTAATCGGGGGTGGACAGACCTCCTTCCCTGACACGTCGATTAAGGACTTGGCCGTTATCGGCTCGCGAGAGGGCGCCGCGGCCGTCACTTTGCGGGTCCAGGTCCGTCGGTTTCGGTCCCAGGCCGTTTTCACTGAGGGGAGGTCTACTATCAGGAGGGAACAAAAACACACAGACACAATTAATCGTCGACTCTCCAGAAAATATGGAAAATATGGGAAGTGGAGGGGAAGACAAAAACCCAGAAAATATGGGACAATATGGGGGATCCTTGAATTTGTGTGTATTTATTTGTGTGTCCCAGGGCCCCTTCATACTAACGGGAGGCTCATCCGCCGCCGAAGTGAGGTCGTTCGGCCCGCTGTGGCCCACCAGAGCTTCGGCGCGACACGCTGAGCACGTCCCGGTCGCCAGGCGTCGACGCCCCGGGCCTCCCGGCCCCGCGGGGCGGAGGGGCACGCCAGCCGCGCGGAGGGCACGGCGTGTCGCCGGAGCCGCCACCGCGACGCGCTGAGCAAGAGTCCCCGGCCGTAGGATCAAGCAGTGGCGAGGCGTCCCAGCTCGCCTATAGCCCTGCCAGGCAATGTTCCAAGAACCTGCTGTGGTCCCACGAAATGTTCTTGGAACATTCCTGGCGGATTTTTTTTGTTTTTTTATCACATCGGGCTTATGCTCTAAGAACATTGTCTTTGTTCTTACAATATTTTGGGGTTCTAAGAACACTTCGTGGTAGGACTATAGGAATGCTGGGATGGTCGGTCCCTGCCCAATAGAGTCCCACCCCGCCAGGTCGATTGGCGAACTGCCTCTCTCTCTTGGTCGGCTCTCGGGAGGGTGCTGCGGCCAGAATCTTTGTGGGACTGCGGCCGGGGGGTCTGGTGCCGGGCCATCTTCATTGAAGGGTGTTTTGCCCAAGGAGGTCCAGTACACATTGCTCATGGCTAATTGTTCGAGAGTTCTTTGGTTTTGGGGGGGGGCCAAGATCCTTGCAGTTCTAGTTGTTCTCTCCTGGGCCTCTTCCTGGCCACTCGGGGGCCAGGAGCGATTAGAAACGAGCACGATCAGAGATGAAACGACGTGTACGCATGGCCGGGCGCCAGCGCTAATCTGGCATCCCTGGTCGTTCGAGGTCCGTCGTCGCGCGGCCCTCAGCGCTCCTGCTCGCGCCGGAGCCACTCCGGCTCGAGCCGCGGGCGGCGATGGCGGCAGCCCCGGACGAGGACATCGCCCGCAAGGGCCGTCGGTCGCTGGCGGGCGCGGCGGGCAGCGCGGTGCACGCGGCGTGGCTGGGAGCGGCCCGCAGGTCCGAGGACATCCTCAACGTGTCCTTCCTGCTCGCGCACACGGCGTTCTCGTACTATCGTGTGGCCTTCGGCCTCGAGCTGCGCGGCCCGTGGGGAGCGTTGAGCTGCTCTCGCGGCCGGGGGAAGCAGGCCCCAAGGGCCCTCGTTCCCGGGGGCCCTCGTTCCGGGGGGCGAGGGCCCGGGTGCGTGCCCTCGGGACGAGAGCCCCGGGGCTGCGGAAAAGCAACTGAAGAGCGCGCGGCCCAGGGAAAGAGGCCATTCCGCCTCGTGGGGGGTCTCTTGAATTCTCTGGGGTGGCTCGTGGGGGCCTGTTGGGACCTCTGTATCCTTGGGGGCCTCGTCGGGGCCTCCTGGTGGCCTCTTGGGGGCTTCGGAGGGCTTCGAGCCTGAATGATTTTCTGCAGCTCTCCTGTGTGGAGTGGGGTCCGCATTGCGGCACGCCCCTCACACGGATCGCGCCCCACAGACAGTTTCACCTGAAGCTCCAGGCCAGTGTCGTCGCACCCCTAAACGTTTCGTGCTCTCTAGGTAGCTCCACCTGCGGCCTCAGCGACGGCGCCCGTGCCACTTTATCAGCACGCCTTTCTCGCGCTTCGTGCCCCCATGGGGAGCTCCACCAAGGGCTTCATCCAGGACGTCCGCAGGAGTCCCCGCCCGTGTCGGCGCACCCCGTTCACAAGCTTCGTGCCCCCAGGGGGAGCTTCACCTAGAGTCTCGGTGGAGGTACCCTTCAGACGCTCCGTGTCATCAGAAGGAGCTCCGCGCCGCCCCGTTTCCCAGTTCGGCACGCTTCTCACACGCTTCGTGCCCCCATGGGGAGCTCCACCGACGGCCTGAGTGGAGGTGATCGCATGCCGCCCCGCGCCCACTTCGGCACACCCCTTACGCGTTTCGTGCCCCCACACATAGCCTCACCTAGAGTCTCAGTGGGGGTATTCGCATGCCGCCCTGTGCTTATTTGGGCGCACCCCCGACACGTCCTGCCCCCACAGGGGCCCCGAATCCTGCGGCGTGTGATACATGTGGAGAGGACCACGCCCTGCGCTACATGCAGCTGCATAGGCTTGGGTCCTCCGCCATGCTGATTGCAGCATTCAGTGTTTAGGACGGATGGGGCCTGAGAGCACTCCACTTCGTGCCAGGGCACGGTGGCGAATTGTGCGCATTTTGACTTCTTGGAGCCTCTCGACTCGGTCTTGGTCTGGTCCGCCAGCCTGGCCGTGCGCATCTCCCTGGTGCTCTTCCTGGCCAGCTGGGCGGGAGTCGTGTACCATGGGCCTGGCCGCGTCCCCCGCAAACAGGAGCGCGGCAGCGACCTTCCCCCGGCGATGGTTGCGGCGTTCGAGGTGGGCAAGTTCAACACGCAGCGGCCGTTCTGCGCGTCTGACGGCTGGTGTGATAGATGCGATCTCTGGAAGCCCGTGCTTGCACACCACTGCAAGCTGTGCCAGCAGTGCGCAATGTGGATGGACCACCACTGTACGTGGTGTGCATGCTGCATCGGCTTCCGGAACTTCCGGTGCTTCATCGTGTTTCTGTGTTACGGGCAGGTGTATTCGGCGTTGGTCACGCTGCTGGCTGCCCGTTACACGCTGAGCGATCGCTCTGGGCTCGATTCTTGGAGCCAGCTGCGCCTCTTGATTTTCTGGCCCACGGCGCTCCTGGCCATCCGGCGGATCCACGTGTACCGCAAGGAGGCGCTCTGGAGGGTTGGCGCCGGCTGGTGCTCTGGGGTGTTGATGCTGAAGTTCGAGGCTGTAATGGAGGCCACTCGCCGGGTGGCCGATTCTGGCTGGCGTCGCCAGGACCTGATCGCCCTGGCGTGCAGGCTGTGTCGGTAGCAAATCATGGGAGCCTTGTGTGCCGTCGCAGCTCCGTCTTCAGAGCGCACCAATTAGCGTTGATCAGCGTCGGGTATCGGCGGAATAGCGTCGCTCAGCGTCGATTAACTTCGACAAGCGTCGATTCGCGTCGATTCGCAAGCGCCAACAAGATGGCATGGAAGGCTCCCATGAGTTGCCTCCGAAGGCTGTACATGCCAGGGGGCCTGGGAGTGCGAGGTCCCCTTGGGCTGCGCTTCATTTGCGGGCAAGAGTCATGGTCCTGCCCACTGTGTCCTGAACTTTCTGGGAAGGGCCGCCAAGGGGCCGAGGTGCAGTGGGCGTGGATAGTTACACATCTGGCCTGCAGGGGCCAGATTTCTACCCATACCCACTGCGCCACTGGTCCCTGTTGATCGGGAATCAGCCCGAAGCTCCACACAAAAGCAGTGGATGTGGATACAGCCCTTGCCCGCATCATCGGCAACCTGGCCACCGTCTTCGGCGAGCCCCCGTGTCCTCGCTGGCTCCTCCCCTGCGTCCCCGGCGGGAGCGGCGACCCGACCCGCCCTGGCGCGTACGACGCCGAGGTCTGTGCCGACTGGGCGGCGCTGTGCCGGCTGCTGGAGGAGCACCGCCAGGAGTGCGGCGGAGGCGTGGACGCCCCCGCCGAGAGCCCGTGCGACCGAAGCGGGTGCGGAGAGAGCGGGTACGAAGATCGACCGCAGTGCCCGTCCGTTTAGAGCAGGGTCGAAGGTAAGAGCACCCCTACTCCAGATTTCGTAATAAAGGGAGGGGGGTCTCATTTCGGGGGGGGTCTCTTCCAGGCTATCTTGGAGGGCCCTGGGGGGTCTGGGGACGATGTTTTGGAGGGTTCTCCCACGGGGGAGGTCTGAAATGGCTTGTCTTGGAGGGTCCAGACCCCCTCCCTTTTATTACGAAATCTGGAATCTGGAGTACCCCCAAGGACACGGTGAAGGAATGGCCTTACTCGGGTCTCCGTCTGGAGCACGAGGGATGGGAGAAGGCTGGGCGGCTGGGCGTGATGCATCTGCAGGGAAGACCTCCTATCCCTAATATGTTTTTCTTGGGCCCTCCTGACTGAGATGCCCTTCCAAAGGATTCGGGGCCCTTGCATTTGCTGGTAGAACAGGGCTCGGTGCCGGTGCTGTCGCGGACGTGGCCCCCCCCATCGCCCGCCCGTCGGCGGCCGCGACCCACCCGCGACCCGGCCCGCGACCCCCCCAACACTGTCTTGAAGGAAAGCATTGGCGCCGAGGTCCCCGCCGCCTGGAGGAGGAGGAGGAGGAGGAGGAGGAGGAGGAGGAGGAGGAGGAGGAGGAGGAGGAGGAGGAGGAGGAAGAGGAGGAGGAAGAGGAGGAGGAGGAGGAGGGCCCAAACCCTCATCGGAGGGCACCAACTATACACCAACACCGATCCTGGCCCAGGATCACCCTGGGCCCAGGATCGGTGTATATATGCCTCCTTGCCCAAGGCAGGAGGGCGTATGCACCGATCCTGGGCCCAGGGTGATCCTGGCCCAGGATCGGTGTTGGTGTATAGTTGGTGCCTTCCTAGCCTCACCCTCATCCGCCACTGCGGGGTGCTGCGCACCCATTTCTACCGCACCCCCTTCGGGCCTTCCCGAGCGGGGCCGGAGGCGCGCGCCCTCGCGGGCGACCCGGAGGTGCGGGCGCCGCCGGCGCGGGCAGCGGGGCCCGCCGCACGGGAGCCGGCGTGCAGCGCGTGAGTGCTCCGAGCGGCCCCCCGGGCCGCCGCCGTGCGCAGGCGGTGGCCCGGAGGCCTCTCTCGATGGGCCTGTTTTTTTTTGGATTCGGGCAAGTTTACCTGCATGGCGTTCGCCCCCCCCCCCCCCCCCCTCGCCCCTTTTCAAGCGAACACTAGCGTGCAAGTGCCTTTCGACTTGCGTGATTTCCGCGCCCCCCCGAACGTGCAAGTCGTTTGCGGCTTGCTTCAGGCTCAGCCCCCCCCCCGTCCATGCAAGTAAACTTGCCAGAGTCAAAACAAAACAGGCTCTATGGGCCTCCCAGATGGTGTCGGGGCAGACGGGGTCGGAGGATCGCGCTGCACCGCCGATGCGTCGGCGGTGCGACTCGAAAGTGGAGCACCACTCTCTGCACGCCGACGGAGCGCGATCCTCGGACCCCATCCACTTGGACCCCCCTTGGGAGGCCTCTGCTCTCAGGTGTCTCTCCTGTCTCTCGGGTTAAGTCGGGCCCGTCCCTCCACAGGAGGAATATGCAAAGATAGCAAAAAAAATCTAGGGACTATTGTTTGAATTTTTTTTCGACAAGCTTGGAGTCTGTCTTGAATATCTGTTATTTGTCGTCGAGAATCCCCCAGTGGGGGGACACGCCCGACTTCACTCTCGGAGGGCCTGCGGGAGGCCTCCCGGAGCGTGTGCCGCGCGCCGCGGCGGTGGCGAGTGCCGGGTGCGAAGGGGCCGCCTGCCGCGGCTACTGGCCAGGCACGTCGGCGACGCGCTGGCACCTGCAGCTGCCCGAGCTCCACGCGAGGGGGAAAAAGCAGGCAAGAGCACGAGCAGGCGTCGATGCCCATGAACAGGTGGGGACGTCTGGGAAGTGAGGGGGCAGGAGCAAGCTCCGGGGAGTGCGGGCAGAGAATGGGTGGGGAGTCGTGGAACGTGTGTCGATTTACCTGCGACTCCCTGGGCCACTTGTCTGCGGGGGGGGGGGAACACACACACACACACACACACACACACACACACACACACACACACACACACACACACACACACACACACACACACACACACACACACACACACACACACACACACACACACACACACACACACACACACACACACACACACACACACACACACACACACACACACACACACACACACACACACACACACACACACACACACACACACACACACACACACACACACACACACACACACACACACACACAACACACACACACACCACACACACACACACACACACACACACACACCACACACACACACACACACACACACACACACACACACACACACACACACACACACACACACACACACACACACACACACACACACACACACACACACACACACACACACACACACACACACACACACACAACACACACACACACACACACACACACACACACACACACACACACACACACACACCACACACACACACACACACACACACACACACACACACACACACACACACACACACACACACACACACACACACACACACAGACAACTGAACGTAGATTCCCTGGAAAAGCTGGGAAAAGATGGGAAGTGTGGGGGGGGGGAGACGAAACTCCAGAAACTGGCGGGGAAAACGTCAGGGATCCTGGGATTTGGGAGGAAGACGAAACTCCAGAAACTGGCCGGGAACAAATCAGGAATCCTGTTTTTTTTAGGGGGGGGGAGACGAGACTCCAGAAACTGGTTGGGAAAACGTCAGGGATCTTGTTTTGTTGGGGGGGGGAGACGAGACTCCAGAAACTGCCTGGGAAAACGTTCGGAATCCTGGGATTTATTTTGGGGGGAGGACGAAACTCCAGAAGCCATGGGAAAACCTTCTAGGAATCCTGGGATTTCTGTGTCCCTGGGCCCCCGTCCGCTCCCTCGCCCTGGAGGGCGCGGCGGGCTCGCTGCGCCCGCGGCCGCGCGCGGCCGCGCGCGGCCGAAGCCGCGGGCGCAGCCTTCGAAGCGGCGGCCTCCGCGGTCGCGGGTCGAGCCGGGCGCTGCCCGAGCAGCCCGCGCGGGAGCTTGGGCGGCGGGCGGGAGTCGGCGGCGAGCGAGGGGGGGAAGCGAGGAGGGGCGTGCCTCCTCAGAAGTCTCGGGGGTCCCCGGGCCTTCGAGAAGTTTCCTCGAAGCCTTCCCCGAGGACAGAAGAAGCCTCTCAGAAGGCGCGAGGGCTTCTGGGATGTCCCGCCGCCTTCAGACAAGGCCTTCTCCTTCTCGCTTCCCCCCCCCCTCGCCTCGCCGCCGAGAGAGGGGGGAATTGAGAATCGAGCCGGAAACTGGGACGTATACATTACCAGTGGCGGGCCGTTGTTCAATCCTACGGCTTTTCGAGGGTCGGGGACGACGTCGGGGTGCTCTGGTGTATACTTGTTCCCCCTTTTCGCGGGGAAACAGCGAAAAAATGTGTACACCAGGATCTCGTATACACCAGGATCCGCTTTCCTGTGCGAACTTCAGCGCAGGGTCGGAAAAAGCGTCGGTGTATAGAGTTTGTTTCCCTCAGAGGGGGGAAGTGCGAATCAAGCAGTGGCGAAGCGTCCTGGCGTGCCTGTAGGCCTACCAAGCAATGTTCTAAGAAACTGTTTGTGGTTTCCACAAGATGTTCGTAGGACATTTCTGGTTGGGACTGTCTTGTTTTAACTCATTGGTTTTGTGGTCTAAGTACACTGGCTTGTTCTTAGAACAGTTTTGGGTTCTAAGAACATTGGACGGTCGGTCCCTGCTCAAGAGAAGGAGAAGGCCCTCTCAGAAGGCGGCGGGGCTTCTCAGGAAGCCCTCGCGCCTCCTGAGAAATCTGCCGTGTCTTGGGGGAAGGCTCGGGGAACTTCTCAGAAGGCCGGAGAGCGTCCGAGCCTTCTGAGAAGGCCCGCCCCTGGTGGCTTCCCCCCCGGGCTCGCCGCCCTTCCTGCGCAGCCTGCACGAGAGAATTACGGTCGGACCGAAGTATAAGATCGAGGTCGGTCTGGGGAGGGTACCCTGGTGTTCTTCGCGAGTGTTGGATGCTCTTGTGCATCCTGGGAAGGGCACCCTTGGGCGTTCATTTTGTTTTTGGCCGGCGGAGGGCCTTATGTTCTTGAGGGGTGCTCTTCTGGCCCAGGTCCGACTGACGCAGCCTGGAGCGCGCCGAGCCCTCGCGAGGTGATCCGTCTCCAGCCCCCCTGCTCTCCCACGCCCTCCCTGCAGCCCGCCTGTTGTCTCCATCCGCAGACCCCCAGCGTCCTGATTGGTTCATGGTGCCGACCCCCTATTCAAGCAGTGGCGAAGCGTCCCAGCTCGCCTATAGCCCTACCACACCATGTTCTAAGAACCTTATGCGGCTTCCACGACATGTTCTTAGAACATTTCTGGCGGAGCCTCTCTTGTTCTATCACATCGGGCTTACGTTCTAAGAACACGGTTTGTGTTTTTGGAGCATTTTGGGGTTCGAAGAGCATTTCGTGGCAGGACCATAGGAATGCCGGGACGGTCGGTCCCTGCTCAACCGACAGGTCCGGCCGCACCCCGAGATCCCAGAGCCCCTTCGCGTCGCAGCACGGCTCCGGAGAGGTCACGGGCGGACGGTCTCTGCTGGTGGCTCGTCTCGTGCCCCGGGGGTCGGGGCCCCCTCGCCGGGCCCGGAGGCTGCGACCGAGAAAGACGCGCAGGACGACAAGCTGGTCCTGGGGAACGGGTCGAGAGGCACAGTGGAGACCCATGCCAAGACACACCCTGCTTGCCTCCAGGGTGCCCTGGGCTTCCTGGGCTTCGACGGTTCTGCGGTGGGAAGAGTGACGTTCCCACACCAAGAGTCAGTGGACGTCCCGGGGTCTCAGGGTTGGGTTTCGTGGGGAAGGTTTCTTGTGGTCGAGCTTTTGCTGCACTCGAGGAACACATGTTACACACATCTTTCGGACATCTGTGCGGATTTCTCGGATCAGCGTTGGGGCCCCCCTAGTGGCGCCTCCGCCAGCGCCGCCCTTGGCGCGCCTCGCGCGCCAGGGACGGGGGTCCAGCGCAGATCCCGGAAATCTGCGCGTGCCTCTGACAGTTCATGATTTGCAGCTGCTTGTTTCTGTATGACGGTCAGTGGAGGAAAAGATACCGATGCCAGTGCTTGTCCTGGAGAGCCGCCGTCGCCGTTGCTGGATTGTTTTCGAAGTTCTGGTCGGAACGCCCTTCAGGAGAGGTCCAGGGAGTAGCGGTGTCGGTATCTTTGTGTCCCTCCAGAAGTTTGTTCATCGCGCACGGGCGTCAGATCGACCTCTGACCTCCAGCTCTACCACGGTTCCAGCGTGAGCGACAAAAGCACCCGCAGTTTAATTAAACTCATCTTCTTCCTGCCCTGATCATTCCTGTCTTATTCTTCCTCTTCTGTGCCTCTCGCCTCCCACCTGCTCCATCTAGCCTCCTGCATTGAGCCTCCCTCTATTCCACATCCTCCTCACCCCCCTCCTCATGCTCTTACTTCCTCCCGCTCCTCCGCATCCTGCCACGCCCGTTCTCATCCCCCATCAGTGTGTCCCAGGAAGTCTCCGTTGGCGCATTGGGGCCCAACAGTCCATAAGCCTCGATCCTCTATCCTCCTCATTAATGCTCCTCATTCTCTTCCTCCTCCTCCTCCTCCTCCTCCACCCTCTGCCTTACACTACTCCTCGCAATTCTAGCACCATGCGTGCCGGTATTGCGGTTTGGCTGCGTCGCTTCTGTTTTCAGCATCACGTGTGCTAAGTTCCCAAGGGTTACAACTGTAGGTCAGACCATTTTCTGCATGCGGTTCTCGTTTCAGGACCGCGCAATGCGTTCCAAACGTGCCTAGCGATTCCACTGATAGTGGGCAGCTCGTTTTCCAAGTGTGGCTCTTCCTTCGACATCCCCAGATGTTGTCCAGACATGTCGGGTTGCACGGTAGTCACACGGACGGAAGGCTGCTCTCTAAACAACGGGATTCTCGTTGGACATGATTTTGAATAGCGTGTTACCTAACAGGATTCTCGTGTTGGACATTATTCTGAATAGTGCGAATGCCTATACGAGTGGTTTACATGTCCTTTTCAGAGTGGGGCTCTTGCTCGACTCGCAGGCCACAGCGGACTTGCCCTGTTGTGGAGGGGGAGTGTGCTCGCATGGCCTAGGGTCTAGGAAGGTGTGCTCAGCGTGTCGCGCCGAGGGCTCTGGCACGCCACAGCTTCGACGCGGCACGCCGAGCACGCTACAGTCCCCACACAGCAACGTTCCATTTTTTCCCAGCCTGCCTCCGCGCAGCAAAGCGACGTGCCATCTGCTGGCACGGCGTCGCGGGTCGCAGGGCCCGCCGCCGCGATACGCCGGGCACGAGTGCTTCACAGTGGGAGGGTCTGCTGCAGCATCGTTGCTGGGCCATGGGCTTACACACTCCTGCCCCCCCTCCTCTCCTCCCTCGTCCGGCGACACGGGGAGCCACAGAACCGCGTCTGGCGGCATGGGGGCAGTGTAAGTGGTTGCTGGAGGGGACCGACATGCACCAGAACCGAGGGCGCTGAGGCGCCACCGCGCCACCCACCTCGGGACGGCCTTCGGGCTGACGGAGCGCGTCGTTCGTTCGCCCGTGCCCCTCCCTCGCACCCCCTCCATCGCGCCACTGCCCCCCGCGGTGGAGCCTGGAGAGTGGTTATCCTCTGCCGCGGCTCGCTCCCTCTGCCCCCTCTTTCGGCCGCGTCCTCCGCCTCCTCCTCCCTCCTGCACGGTGCCACGCTTCACTTCAACGACACCCCCGTCTGGGCCTCCCCGCTGGCGCAGACGACCATGGCCTCGCCGC